GTGGGAATTCCGGGGTCTGTCGGGCTGGTGATGGATGGGGTCGGGGCAGTCAGGGGACAGGGAGCAGGGCAAATTGGGTAGGGGTGGGGTCCTGGGGGCAGTTAGGGTGGGGGTCTTGAGAAGGAGTGGTCAGGGGACAAGGAGTGGGGTGGGAGGTTGATGGGTTGCGGTTTCTGAAGGAGGCAGTCGGGGGCAGGACATGGGTGGGGGGGCGGATGGGGTTCGGGGGGGATGTATTCACCGGGCGGTTCCCTACCGGGTCTTTGGCGGCGGGTCCTTCAGTGCCGCGGAAGACCCGGAGCGCCGCCGGGTGAGTCAAATCGGGCCCCGCACTTCCTAAAGCTGGCCCTGCACATACTAGGGGTTTGCACCCATCCAATGCGCTGCCGCTGATCCTCACACCTACCCCATATGTGAAATGTGGGCAGGGCTATTCCCTATCATCTGTGGCCCCCGAGGATCAACGGGGAAATACCAGAGTTCTTGGTCCATTGGCAATTCTGAAAAGTCATGGGGGGGGATTTTTAATTGCTTTGGACAAAACGTTTTGTTTGAATTTCAACCATATTTCTCATTTTTTGAATTTAGTAACAATACAGTTCTGGGCAGCGTTAAAATCCAAACCCATTTTTAAATCCCAAACTCCAGAGGTTTTTATTTTTTAACGTGAAATCAGCCCAGTTGTAGCTGAAGTTTCACCCAGCTCTGCCCCAGAGTGGGCATTTCCCCCGAGCAGAGGCTCCCCTGGGGCTCTGTCCGCTCTGGTGGCATAACCAGTGATGTGGGCACTTCCTCAGTGTAGACCCCACCCTCCCTCTCAGTGCCCTTGTGCCCCTGGGCTCCTGCAGTCGGCTGCCCTCAGGGACATGGGGCTGGGGGGCAGAGCTGTCCCTGATGCTGAGAACCCAACTCCTCCTTTGGGGATGCTCCTGCCTCTCTGATCCCTCCCTTGTCTTTTTGGGTCCATGTCTCTGTCTGGGCCCAGGTGGGTGGGGGGACACTGGGGCAGGTAACGGCCGGGGGGGACCCAGGTGCTGCTCACTGGCCGTGACCCTGTTGCTCCCCCTCTGCCCCCTCATCTCCCCAGAGCGCCCAGCCGTGCGGGTCACCAGCAGAGACGCCCCTGGCGGCCCCACCACCCTCTCCTGCCGGGCCCACGGCTTCTACCCCTGGGACATCGCCGTGACCTGGCTGAGACATGGGGGGAGCAGCGAGCAGGAGACATGGCGAGGGGGGGTCCTGCCCAACGGGGACGGGACCTACCACACCTGGGCCACGGTGGAGATCGACCCCCAGGAGAGAGGCCTGTACCGCTGCCGTGTGGAACATGAGAGCCTGACCGAGCCGCTCGTCGTCGTGTGGGGTGAGGCCGGGGTGTGTGTGGACGCTGGATGACATGGCGGGGGGGGTGTCACAGGGTGACTGGCCCTACAGTCCCACCGGTAACCCACTTTGCTCACCTCCCCAGGTGGAGAAAATGAGCGAAGCCGCAGGACAGGCAGGTCGTGTGGCTAGCGGGGGAGGAGGCTAAGACAGGAACCAGAGGGGAGGGGGCACCCCGGAAAGCCGGAGGGAGCTGATAAATGAAACCTTGTGTTGGGCAGTGGAGCTGGGCTGCGGGGGTGTGACTGCGGAGCCAGCCTGGATCCCAGCTGTTACCGGGGTTCCAGGGGGGCTACGCTGAGGTTGCTCAATTAGGGTGAGCTGCAAAGAACGGGACAGACAATCCCCCAAACTGGTGATTATTGCAATACTTAGATTCACCAAGCCAGGAACAAAACAGCTTCTACAATATCTTACTGGTCACCCAGATGCCCAAAACACCGTTCCCTTAAAGCAACTCAGCCTTGGGCTCCCACCCAGACAGCCAAGTCAAATATGATGAGGATTACTGAAAATCTCGTTCATCGTATATAAAATTCTACCAATCCCAAAGGATTGGACAGATTATCCACCAGGTCAATGAATATTTCAGATCTTACCCAAATACGTGCTTACAACCAATTCTTATTAACTAGACTAATATTCATTAGAAAAGAGAGAGAATTGGTTAAAAGATCAAAATACATACAGCCATGAGTACAGGTCTTGAGCTCACCATCTCTGCTATGAAACTGACCCTAGAGCTGCACAGAGTTCTTTCAGAATCAGTCCATGGGTTATATCCAGAGTCTAATATCAGGGTGACCCAGACTGGAACTGGAGATCTCAGCCTTGTGGCTCAAGTTTCCCCTAATGAAGCTTAAGCAGATTTGAGATGACAGGATCAGGGCCCAAGAGTGTTTATAGAGGTCACTGGAAGGCTGTTATCAGCCTCTTGACAGCAGGTGTTGCTTGGGGGAAGAATAGTTGCTTTGAAGTAGAATTACCTATTTCCTGTGTACACATAGGTAACTAGCTGCATTCATCAGCATAAGGTAATTCTCCATTAAGCAATTCATAGACAGTTCACTACAGACTTCAAAGAGACATATAAACAATCACATTACTGCACCCAAGTTTCATCTAAATGTTACTATTCCCCTTTGATCTCTGAATCAATAGACAGGAACCATCTGGTTACATGGTTAACATCTAATAAGATAGATGTAAACACACAGTCAATATTCCCTCTAATTCTCTAACAATGCAGGTGTGTATTTCACAGCTGTAGTCCATTTAACATGAAATGACCCTAATTACCAGTTACATATTTTTTTAATATGTCTCTAAAGGTTGAATTTGGGTCGATTAGCCTGCTAGTTGTGTAATCCTTTCTGGCCTTGTGTCACACCAGCACAGGCCGGGGTGTGACCGCGGAGCCAGCCTGATCCCAGCCCGGGCCGGGGTCCTGGGCAGTGAAACGTCGGCTGGAGGTGAAACGGGCTTTAAAACACGGGGAACCTGGTGCCAGGCCCCTGTGAGTTAGCGGGAGTTGAAAAGTCCTGTTAACAAAGGATTGAAAAGGGAACGCGAGGCCTGGGCCCTGGGGAGAAGAGACGCTCTGGAAGGAGCAGGGAAGGGCACCCGCTTCCCTTGTTCACTGGCCTCTGCGGTTTGAAGAATGACTGATGTTTATTGCACAGAGCCACGCTGGGGTAGGTAGCATCTGGAAGGTTAAAGACACAGCTGATCGGCTGTGGGGATGCAGGGAGCACCCCAGCAGACAGGCTCTCTAGGAAGACCTCAGGTGCTTTAAGGGCTCAGGATACCCCATAGGGGCTTAGTGGGGGTGGCGGGGAAGTGGGGTAACATTACAAAAGCTCTGCTTTGTTTTTTCAAGGCCAGGGAGCCGTGTAGGAGCTGCTGCCTGACAGGGAGCAGGGAGAGACCCGAGGTGCTGCTGGTGGGAGATGGGCTCCTGCAGCAGGGGGAGGGAGAGGAGAGGAGAGGAGGAAGCAGTCACTGAGGAGACGTGGGGAC